AAGCGCGCATACCCTGCCTGCGTGCTTGCAGACAGGTGGTCAATGCAGCACATTTCGACCTGTACGATTGTCGCCCAGGTGGTCAATGCAACGCATTTCGACCTGTACGACTATCGTACAGGTCGAAATGACAATCGTACAGGTCGAAATGCGTTGCATTGACCGCCTGGGCGCACATACCATACAGCATTCTCGAGTAAACTCATGTGATCGCACGTTGCCCTGTGGAGTTTGCGTGCTGGAACACTGCCGCGGAACAAGCGCGCGCGACAAAATGTAGTGCCACGCAACATGCACCACTGGTATGTACACATTCACTCGTTCACATCGCGCTCGCACCCGCTTCGGAATCCGCCGATTCCTTCTCTCACAGCGCGCGCAGCAGACGCTAGCCGACTAGGAGTCAAAGAGAAATTTTGACAAAAAGGGACTCTGTTGACCAGAGCCATCAGCGCCAGCAGCGAAGGCTTCAAAGGCAGCGCTCTGCGGCCCGCACCGCTGACAAACTTTGTCGATCACAGCCATCAGCTTCAGCAGCGACAGCCTCGTAGCAGCGCTCCGCAAACTGCGCCGCACAGCAGACGCTGCACGTCGCGCACCCCCACAAATTCGGAGACTAACCCTAACCCTTTGTCGTCGCGTACATTTCGCGCCTCGGACAGGGGGTTCCCGCACTACAGACGCTCATCAATCAAAAATGCCTCGACATCCGCGTGCCTCAAACATCCACGCGGTGTTTGCCGCCTTACAGAGTCGCGCGCCCTAGGGTTCCCCAATTGCAGCGCGTCGCGCAAGGCCACGAACCCTGACCCAACCCCCAACCCTAACTATGACCTTTTGCCGTCGCGCGCGTCCCGCGCCTCGGACAGGGGGTCCCCGCGCTAGAGACCCTGATCCATCGAAAATGCCTATAATGTCCACGTGGCGTTCGCCGCCTTACAGTGTCCCGTGCCTTAGGGTCCCCCCCGAATGCAGAGCATCGCGCAAGGCCACGAACCCTGACCCTACCCCTAACCCAAACCCTAATCGTGACCCTTTGCCGTCGCGCGCGTCGCGCGCCTTGGACAGGAAACCCCGAGCAGCGACACCAGGCGCGTTTCTTCAGGTGGTACCCTCAACTTGGCAGCGCTGGCTTAGCGTACGTAGGTATGATATTCACTTCTGTGTGTGCCACAGATCATTGTACTTGTGTGTCAACTACCTCAACCGAAATTTTCGCCAATATGCGCCAAAGTCACTGGGATTTCTGATATGTGTAAATGATGATGAAATGTATGGGAAAGTACTCCGGAGAAGTATACTTTCCATGATAACCACAACCTTTTCGTGCCTGCTGAGCGCTGAGCGCTGCGCAAGGCCAGCACCCGGCGTCGCATCAGCGCGTCTAAGCTTATCCATCTCTCTCGGATGGCCTTCGCTCGGCCTTCCATCGACCCACCAGACACCAACTCACCGCGTGTGGCCCGCTTGGCTGGCAACAAGATCGACATCAGCGGCAGTGCACCGGTGTACTCTGATCATTTCCAATTCGGATGCGAAGACGCACATATGCGTGAGTGTACTCCTTGGACAAAGTATCAGTTCTCATTGGGGGCACGACAAATCGGAAATAATTCTTCACATTCATCGGTGGTGTACTCACAATGTACTGCTTTGAATCATGCTGGCGCACCTGTATGCCGACCATGGTAGCATGGTAGGTCGTATAGTCGTCCTGCAACGGCGGGCAGCGGCAGCAGCGGCAGTCGAGCGAGAGAGCGGCCCATGAGACCCAGGTCAGCGATCGCAGTGCAATGCATCATAATGGATAAATCTGAAACTGACAACGCACGGCTCAGCACATGTTCACATGTTGAAGTTGGTTTATGAAGCAGCCAGTGTTGAAGTTGGTTCATGAACAACAGCCGACATGCCCAAGACAGGTCAGTTCCGCATGCCGAATTTTCAATCTTCGGTCCCACCGCGCAAATTCGGGGAACCGAGAGCGGGCAGTGGCAAAGGCACTGATAAGTATACTTTGCTGACATTACATAATAATGCCGGTCCGACAGCGGCGAGGCTCACAGGAATTTGGCGCCGCAAATGAATTTTGTGCGTATCGGTCCACCTGCTCCTTCGGGCGTCCGCGCGTGCTGAACAGTGCAGTACCGCGTTCCTGGCTCACAATGAAGCACTGACGTGTGGCAAGTTGAACTACGTGATTCACCCCTCTGTCGTGCTTCACAGTCGATGCTCAAAAAGGCTTATCTTGAGCAACAACGGTGCGCAGAGCCGTGCTGGAGAGGGGTTTCAATCCACCCTCTTTGCTCAAGATGAGCATTTTTGAGCATCGCTCAAGATAAGCTTTTTGAGCAGTTTCAATCCAGGTTCCAATACAATCATCGGAATAGGAAAAAATCCGATCGAAATTGAAGTTTTTCGATAATTATCGTACTGTTTTCGATTATTGATGATGGTCTTGTTCAGCTTTACTAGCTGTGCGCATGCAGGTGCCAGCGTATACATTCTATCAAAGCTGGACCCGTGTTGCCTAGAAACGGATAAACACATGATCAAACAGTACCTGTTGAAAAGTTTCTGACAGAACACACCCACACATACACAATAGTGACACTTAGGGTTAGGGTTAGGTTTAGGGTTAGGGTTAGGGTTAGGGTAAGAACACACACATAGCATCCATTTCACAAGAAGAGATTGTGTGTGCGTGCATCCGTAAAAAGTCAAAACCACAAACTATGTATCCATGCGGGCTGAAGAGCTCACCTCAAAACGGATAAAAATACCAGAATCGGTTCTTCCTAACCAGGATAGCGACTGCCTCGATTACAAGGCCAATTCTGTACGTACATACAGGGTGAACGTCGAAACCTCGAGGCCTCGTTGCCTCAGGTTCCGATCTTTAGTTCCGACAGGTTAGGGTTAGGGAATGGGCGGGGGGAGGGTTGAGATGAGGCGCAACAACTGCTGACAGTAATGACCAAACCGCTGTCATACCAGTTTGAAGCGTGGTGTGTGCAAACACACTTGTGTAGGGTTGCAAAACTTCGTATGCGTACTTAAGTACGGGGGCGTATATACGTATTTAAATACGTATTTGTGTGAGCAAATACGCCGCAAATACGGTGTTGTCGTAGGCCTGTTAACTGCGCTCCTTTGCTGACGCTGACATCAGCAGCGAGACAGCAGCACCAGGAACTGGGACGTGCTTTTTGAGCGACCTCACGCCTGACCCCTTTGCAAATGCCCACGGAGTGCTTGACAAGGCAGTGTGGGCAACGCCGCATCCTTCCCCCTTGCCTGCCTTCGCCTTCTTCTTCTCCTTCGATGAAGCCGAACTTCAACATGATCGTTTATTCTGTGTGGCCGCGTTTTCCTTCGACACCGATGGATGGCCACACAGCCGATGGATGGCTGCACAGGCAGCAATGCTCGCTCGACAGGAATTGTTGCAGGTACAGCAGCCTCGCCAGCACCGCTACCGCCATCATCAGAGGCCCAAGGTGTCTGCCATCGCCACCTCACGATTTGTGCACGTAAATGCCACCCTCGTCGTCGTCGTGGCTGCTCCAGCTCCTACACCTAACCCTGACCCTCATTCTAACCCTGCCCTTAACCCTGAGCGCCTTCTAGTAGACGAGGCATACAGTGCGTCAAACCTCAACTTGAGGTTGAGGTTGCACACCAGAGAGCTGTGTGTGCTGTAGCTACACTGCGTGTGCCAGCATATGCCCAGATTCGCCAAATACATCAAATACGTACTGGAAATACGGCGTATTTGAATAAGGCGTATTTGTGTGGGGAAATACGCTTTTTTGCAACCCTACACTTGTGCTATGCACAGAACAGTATCAAACACCCTGACGGAGTCCCTTCGCCCTCAAATGCATCCCGGCCATTCCAACAAGTTCCAATGGATCCGACCCCGACATATCGCCAAAACTAGTTTCGGGGAAACATGGGTGGGTTTCGGCGCGTACCCTGATTGCACACAGTCTACAGTAAAGCGCCTTCCTGCAGAGTACACGCAGGCGCGCGCCGCCGCCTTCTCTGGCGCAACGTGATCACCCTCCTGACATGTGCACAACATACACAGTTGGCCAACAGGCAGCAACTGGAACAGCGCCGAAAGCAAGTACCAAGTAGAACTCTTACCCTGTCTTCACCCCTGTCCCAGGACCCGTCTTCCTCCTGCGCCTGCAGAAGGAAGGTGATGCCGGCCTGGTCCCAACAACAACGAGAGACGTCGATAGCGCGCGCGCGCATTAGTACACTGAAGTGATTGTCATCGAGACACTTTCAGACTGCCACACGGCACGTGGATTCTGTACTATGTCTAAGCTTTGATATCAATCATCTGGGATTTTTGCGCCCTGAGCGAGAATTAATAGGAAGTACAATGCAGATGGATATTGGTGGCTGCTCTCATGCCTCTCATGCACAAGCGCAGCGCGAGAGCCTTGTCGCGTGACACACGTTTCAGTACACGCACTGACTAGTATAGAAGCTAGTGCGGTACTGCTGCTGACTGCTCAAGCACAAGCGCTGGATGCAAGCGCCGCGATGTGTGCGTTTTGAGCGCTGCCATCGGTGCGCCTCACCTGTATGAGGGGGTCGGAGTCGGCGGCGCCAAAGACGCGCAGCACCTGCCAGGCAACGATGCAGCCAATGAGGGCAGCGCGCAGCGAGAATCCTGTCACCATCGCACAGTGAATGTCCTGGCAATGGTCCCTTGTCTGGTGTGTAGCGCATTGTGTGGGAGCTGATATGAGAGTTTTAGGAGGCTTTGAAAAGTCCCGTTTTATGCTGCAATTTCATGATCTCATTGCAGGCGCAGGCTCCGCAATGGCGCAGTGGGTTCATCATTTGGGTGCAGACCAAACATTGGCAGACTGTATACACCCTCCTACTTTAACTTCGCACCCCCCTTCGTACTACAACACACTCAGATGACACATGCAAAAATTGAGGTGAAGAACGGTGAAGCAAGAAAGGAAAAAAACAGGAGTTAGTGGGGCTCGAACCCACGACCTAATCGTTGCAAACGATTCGTGATAACCACTACACCATAACCCCATGATACAATAAGGGCAAATTCGAGCCATCTGATGTCATGCCCCGATGCTTAGCCCCAACTACTCGCGTGACTTCAGGCAAACCAATGATCAGACGATGCGACAACGCTGACCTCGATGAACTGCCCCACCAGGTGCACATCCCGCTGCGTTATTTGCACTGCCAAGTGCTGCGGCGGTGGAGGAACGACGGAGGAAGAGCGGAAGACTTTCACATTCCTCTGGTTCACAGATCCTTGGCGAAACATAACGATTATCGGCTTGCAACATGTGCAGGCAGGTAGGCCGATGAAGCCGTTTGCGCTGCACTCCATGTCGTTGGAGATGACGCAAATGTGTGTCGGCCGCTGCCGCAAGGCTTCCGCGGCGTCGTAGTTTATGGAGCACAACTGCCATGTCGATCAGCCGATATGGCAGAGTGATACCTGCACCATTCTACGGTCCACAACACATACAACAGGGTTTGGCACTGCTGCATGCCATGATCGGACCAGCAGCAGAAGCTGCACGTGCAGTGCGTTGTCATGGCCACAACATTCAAGGAATGTGGAATACGAGTTGCACATGGCAAGGCTCAAGCTATACATGTGAATGGAGCCTTGCCTAATGTACCCCCCTCAGCTGCATGGTGGGTGGGTTGCCACTTTTATTAAGTGTGATTTGCGTGCTCCATCTGAGCAATCATGCTGCCACTATCAATCCGCAAAAAGAAAGGTCATAATGTCGCAACTGCGGCAAGAGCGGAGCCCGGTCCGCCACACCAAAGTGCATTCATGACAATGTCGCATTGCAAGCAGCAAGGCCGTCCCTCCTACTCGCTTTCAGGACCGTGGAAATGTCGCAGCTTAGTCAGTGTCAGCAGAATCGCCCAGCGTGATTTGACTAGCCGTGACTGGCCTGATCTACACCCATATTTGAAGCTGCCGTTCTCAAGCGGAGATGCAAGTGAAACTCAATTGATTTGCATTGCTCTCACCACCATGGGCTTGAGTAGAAAGACGTGATCGGCAATGCGTATTGAGGCACTTTTAAGGTGTTCACAAAGACATGTGGATTCTGGTTGCAAGCTGGACATCCACCATCTGGGCTTTTCGGCGCCCTGAGCGTTGATGAAAAGTACATGAATGCTGCAAATTGCATGCAGTGCAGACTACCTTTGCAGCTCTGCGCTGCCCATAAGAGTTGAAGATGTTGTGTCCACCTGCTCTCACCTCTCTGACAAATAGGTACTCGTGCGGCAGCAACTCCGGCTCCAGCCGCAGCTCGCCCCAGCTGTTGAGCGTCAGGATGACATGGGCCACCAGGTAGCACTGCGCCACAGCAAAACGTGTGGAAACAATGTTCACTTCCTGTTTCGCGCGCAGCGTTCAGTTACCAGTGACAGTTGAACAGACTGGGTGCTGCCGGCACAAGGCCGCACAGCAGCAGCAAGAAGCCGGTTCAATGGCACATCATTGCATGGCATGTGTAATGCTGCTCAACAACCTGAACGCTTGACAACTTGAATGCGTACACTTGTACGCTTGCAGCCAGCATGCAAACTCGTTGCAAACTCGTTGTCTATATACTACTTCCACCCTCAGCTCACGAGCGCGCGACGGCCGCAATACGAGCGCGGCACGCGCAGCCACCAGCAAGCGTCCTCGTAGCCGCAGCAGAGTTCGCTGTTGCCGTAGGTTCGCTGTACCAGGCATGTACTCTCGCAAGTCATGCACGTGGTGCATGTACTCCTGCCACTTGAGTTCGCGCAGGTCGCGGTACGGGCGCAGCGGCGCAGCCAGCGGAGCACGTCCTTTGCAAAGCATTGCCCACATCTCTGCATCAGGCATGAACTTGCCAAGTTCACTGTACCAGGCATGTACTCTCGCAGTTCACGCACCTGGTCCATGTACTCCTGCCACCTGAGCTCGCGCGGGCCGCGGTACGGGCGCAGCGCGCGCAGCCAGCAGAGCACATCCTTTACAAACCATCGCACACATCATTGTATCAGGCATGACCTTGCAGAGTTCACTGAGCATGTACTCTCACAATTCACGCACCTGATCCATGTACTCCTGCCACTTGAGCTCGCGCGGGCCGCGGTACGGGCGCAGCGCGCAGCCAGCGTAGCACATCCTCGCAAACCATTGCATAGTTCACCGTATCACGCATGAAGTTGCACAATTCACTGTACCGAGCATGAACTCTCACGCAGTTCACGCACCTGGTCCATGTACTCCTGCCACTTGAGCTCGCGCGGGCCGCGGTACGGGCGCAGCGCGCGCAGCTAGCGGAATACTTCATATAGTTCACTGTACCAGGCATGTACTCTCGCCGTACACGCACCTGGTCCATGTACTCCTGCCACTTGAGCTCGCGCGGGCCGCGGTACGGGCGCAGCGCGCGCAGCCAGCGGAACACGTCCTCGTAGCCGCAGCCCAGGCGAACGCCGACGCGGTGCGCGTAGAACGTGGAGATGAGGCTGTTGGACATGGCGCGCCACGGCGTGATGGGCGCGCCCGTGTACACGTCCTGCGCCCAACGCGTGCATTCATTCATTTGTCAATTCATTCATTCATGGTCAGGTTGGTCATGGCGCGCCACTGCGTGATGGGCGCGCCCGTGTACACGTCCTGCGCCCCAGTGTGTTCATTTATTGATCCATTCATTCATTTAGTCAAAATATGTACAAGTGTGCAGCATTGGTCATGTTGGACATGGCGCGCCACCGCGTGATGTGCACGCCCGTGTACACGTCCTGCGCCCCTACGTGTTCATTGATTAATCCATTCAGTCACAGTTATTCATTCAGCATTGGTCATGTTTAGGGATGTGCACGAGCGTATAATTTCAAAAATTATACTATGTATAACGTATATTATAACCCCTTATAATGTTATACCACGTATACAAACGTATATTTAATGGCAAAACCTGAACTTCAACTCCGTTTCAATTAATTTTTCTTTATGCATTGTAGCATCAATCGCAGGCGTTGCAGAACAGGCACCAGAAGCGAGATCCAGATCAAAGCAAAAACGCTGTAGTGATTACAAATGCAGGCCTGCCACGTGGCATCTGTGTGTTCTCAACCTACATGAGCACTCTACTTCTCAGCCAGCAGAGACAGCACGACCTCCTCCTCTGACCTGCGGTGCTCAATGTTCTTTGCATTCCCCCTGATCATCACCAGCTTCTCAGCGCGCTGTAGTGCAAGTCTGTTGCGGCCCTTGACAAAAATATCCCCCCACAAAGACCAGTTGCGCTCAGTGGCACAACTGGTCACATGAAACGACAACATCTTGACCGCCACCTTGGCCATGTGAGGAAACGACAGGGCACCTCTCATGGCCCACCAGTTCTGACGCTTACTGTTGGAAGCAAGCACGACTTTGCCCTCTACCTCTGTACGCTGCAGCAGCAACAGCAGCAGCTACAGCCGGTAACCTTAGCGACGTGGCCAAGAGACGCGATGTCAGAGGTCATAGAGTGGCCTTCCGATGATGTGGCAGGTCAACAGAACCCTGAAAAGCCGAAATAATGACGTTTTAGCGAAACGTATAGAGCGTATAGGCTTTTCGCATTATAACGTTATATATACGCTATACATATCTATACGTTATATATACGATATACGCTGCGCACATCCCTAGTCATGTTGGACATGGCGCGCCACAGCGTGATGGGCGCGCCCGTGTACACGTCCTGCGCCCAAACGTGTTCATTCATTCATTCATTCATTTGTTCATTCATTCATGCGCGGTGATGTTGGACATGGCGCGCCACGACGTGATGGGCGCGCCCGAGTACACGTCCTGCGCACAACATGATCATTCACCCAACCATTCATTCATTCAGTCACAAATATTCATTCAGCGTTGATCAGGTTGGACATGGCGCGCCACGGCGTGATGGGCGCGTTTGTGTACACGTCCTGCATGCGTGGTATTCATTCACTTCATTCATTCATTCACTTTTTAAATCAAACATTGTGTCAGCGGGGGTCATGGCGCGCCACGGCGTGATCGCCCATATACACATCCATAAACAAATCCTGCGCTCGGCGCGTTCATTCATTTGTCCACTCAACAAATCAATCATTCAGCAATGGTTGCGTTAGACAAGGCGCGCCACGCCGTGATGGGCACGTAACTGGCAATTCGTTCAGTGCCGTGTGCGCGGCCTGTAAGTGACGCATTCAGCGTCTGCAAATATGGACTGCGTCTTCATGCTTATTCCGCAAGCAACCAAGGCGCACTGCGCCTTTGTGCACATCCTGCAAGCGATGCATGCGGCATTCACAAGCCAGCTGAAACGACTCCCGCGCTTGTGCTGACGTGGGAAGGGCCAGGGGGGGTGTTTGCCTGCAGCGCCCCTCGACATTCTCTGGCAAGGGGCCTTGATGCTTTACAAGTCAGTCTCAGCTATGATTGGCGTCCCAGTACAGGTTCTGCTCACCCCCAACCCTAAACCTAAGTGTACAGGTTCTACGAGCAACGAGTGGGAGTCGCAAATTGCAATCCATTGCAGCAGCTCGGACAAGTCACACAGTACTCTTTGTTCCTGATGGCTGGCGCGTGCTGTAGAACGTCAAGAGTCCCCACTCAGGACCTTAGCCCTAACCCTAAGTGCTGCCCCAACGCGCCGAGGAGTGATTGGCACGTGCTTGAGCACATGTCGTGCAAGCAAGATGTCATTTTTGTTCCAAGGGGAAGTACCTCGCCAATGCCCCGCGACATGTCAGCAACCGTCGGAAGATGATGCGCCCGCACGTCTTTGGGTTAGGGTTAGGTAACCCAAGATACAGTGTCCGGCACAGGGCATCCATTCGTGGCTAAGGTCCCCCCCACCACTACCATTCCCCTGCATTGTAGTCTTATGCTCACGCAGTGCGCACATTGAAGCAAGGTACTGATGCTGGCGTCACAGAATGACGAAACCGCTCATCAGCACTCACCCCTCTCCCTCCCCCCCACACCGACTATCACCCTCCCCTCTGCATTCACTGCCTTCGCTTTCAGT